TCCCGGCCCAACGCACTTCCTCCCTGCCCATCCATTTAACCCTAAAAAGGATTCGAGCGACCATGCAAGGGAGGAAACGAGACAGGCCCCTAAGCCCTGGCCACCGAGTCGGCCATACGTCTCGAACCTGTACTAAGGCGCTCACCTGGACTTCGCGGACAGTCCCAACCGCAGAGCTTATCCCGTGGGCTAAGGTACTGTTGGTATTTGACGGGGGTGAATTAGAGTCTCTTATAACTACTGACTGACAGCAAGCGTTGGGGAAATAAAAAAAAGCCACCCCTGGGATTCGAACCCACAGTCTGACGATCTGCTACCCAAGAGTTTAACCGCTCGGCCGTTTCATTGCTTGTTCGTGTTCGTAATTTAAGTGAATATACTTTGATCCGACGTCGAAATAAGGGCAGAATTCTGACAGCGAACTTTAGTGACTATTTTGATGCGTTCCCCCACTGAAGGGGAAGAATTCTGAATGCCAAGTTTAGTGGATACTTTTGGTCGCCCTCCCCAAAGGTTGTAGAATTCTAACAGAGTGAATAATTATGGTGCTCTATTCACGCCACATTGCATGGCGCGATAAGAGTCATTGCACTGCGGGATGGGAGTCGTTGCACTTCGCGATGGGAGTTGTTGCACTGCGCGATGAGAGACCTAACCACCGTTTCGTATTATTTAACCGTTTATCAAGGTATAGACGGTCTGGTTGAGTAATCGAGTGCGTCCATGATGACATTTCTTCGGTAATGAGGCTGCGTGTCATTTCGTAGGACGTGATGATGTAACAAATTTGATTGCCTTTGATTTCTGACGTGGTCTTTTTTTCCCAGTTCGCGCTTTGTTTAAACTGTGACACGTACTTTCAAGAAACTTAAGAACAAGTGACCGGTTTCTAATCAAAGGATGGGTGAAACGGTTACGAATCGTTCCGTCGTTTCGCTAGGAGGTGTCATGTTTTTTCTTTATAAAACTATTTTTGTTCACAATGTCATGGTTTTAGCCAGCTCTCAAATTTATCACAGACTTGTCTTTACTGATTCATTCGAGGGGTTTTCTGATTCAGTTGACCCCTGGGTGCCTTCCCAGTAGCTTTTAGAAAGTCCGAAAACTGGGTGAAGTTCTCTGGAATTTGACCTCGATGGACACCAAGTATTATTGAAAAAGTCTAAATATTGTTGGGGTTGTCTCCAGCACCCCATAAAAGGATTTATTTCTGGAAGGGGATGAGGGACAATTTTTTTTCTAATTTCTAAACCGGGGAGACAAAAGGTGTTATTAATTAACAATCGATATAATCCCCTCTATTACGCCTCCCGATCTCTAGTTATAATGGGTAAGTCGGGCGACTTGAGCGGGCGGCAGTCGAGGCCTGGTGTCCGCTGTGGCATGTCTACTCACAAAAAAGGATAATAATATTCTAAAGTAAAGGATACGCCTGCTGCTTCGAAGGTTTATGTATGATGTAACTAATTTTTTGTATGCGTTCTTCCAACAATTATACCGTTCTCGTGCCAGAAGAGGTCCAAAACGGCTTGTGATAAGGGTAAAATTAACAGTCGAGCACTGTTATCCTTAATCACCACAAGAGGGCGCCCTCCAGACCAGGACCAACTTTCAACCAATGGAATGCTTAAAGTTGCAAAGGTCGTCATGTCAGTGGACACAGCGTAAGGTAAGCCATGTCTTTTCTGAAACTGAAATGTTTCAGACAATTGTAAGAATAGTGACTGTTGTAAGATGATGTCAACAAATCTCTTAGAAGAGCTGAGTGTACACTCTATGTGCTTTCGAGGCATAGTTGGTAACTTTTTTGGTCACAACGTGATTAAGACGTCGTTACACTATCCTAAGCTTTAGCTTTAGGCTCCTCATGGGATTTGAATGGACAGTGTCGTGATCGAGGCTCATTAAGCTTCCGCAGTGACTTTACTTTAATCTAGAATTCCACGTTTTAAATCTCAAAGAGAAGCAATATTTCCAAATCTATTTATATTTTGTGTATCCCCACTATGCTTTCCCTGACGAAATGCTGTATGGTGAGAAACACCAGAGCCTACTCTCGTTTGTTCCAGTTCAACCTCTGCAAACGTCACAAATGTGTCTGCAATTAGGCCTTCATTGCATCGATCATGCTGTAATAGAACTAACATTAATCTTAAGAATTCAGATGCAGTTTGGATAAAATCAATATTTTTTGTAATGATTCCTGCCTTTCTATTACTGTTAAATATTCACCGACTTGACTTGCAAAAAAAAAAAGATTGAAATGTACAGCTCTCCTTTATCATATTTATTCTGCATAGACTGCACAGGAGCCACGTCTCAAAATTTGTTTCAGGTCAGTCAAACAACACTTGATGCATTTGTTTCAACCGTTGGCATGGCATTGTGGTCAGGACTCCTCACTGTTCCCTCCAAGCGTCGAGCCCTGCTAGCCACAGTGGTATTTACTGGTGTTGCAGTTGGCGGATACATCTACCTAAGGAGAAAGTTGAGCACTTCTGGAGATGGAACGAGGTTACTCAAGATGTCTTGTTCCTGTTTATTGGGTGTGATTGGTCGATCATGTGGAATCGCTTGATCTTTGTGCAATCTGTCCATCTTACTGCATGATTGGTCAATGCACCTTTTCTTTCTAATTTTCAGTTGTGGAAGATTTCGAAAAAGGGAAGTAACGTCTGAAAATTCATACTGGATAATGGCACAGTGCAATCGTGTGATCATGCTGATTGACCGATCAAGCCCGACATTTATACAAACAGAGAGACCAGAAACATACTTTTGAGATTTTACTCAATAAAACCAAATAATTGTGTTGCTGATACCAGCTCAGAAAAAAATCCCCAAAGTTCTACACCTGAGTGATGCCATTTTCCGTCCTGGTTTTATTTTGGCTGTTTGATGCATACAGCTACATGTAATTAAATTTCTAAAAACTTCTCCACAGAGGACTTGTTATAATTGTAACTCCGTTTACCCTGTTTTCCTTCCTGATAAGGAGAATCTAGGATGATGTAGCATCGGCTCTTTGACCATGTATTCATTGTTCAAGGGACTGTCCTACGAAGAATGCTGAACTGGACTGCATGAGCCACATCGAATATGCATCGTGCATCATGCAAGATTTGACTCTGACAGGTGGATGGGCGAATATAGTCAGTAAAATGTGAATACATGTACATGAATATTGTTTTGCGTTGTCAGGGGTACTTCAGCACCCGGTTCTGCTGTGCACGAACGGTGGGTTGTCAGTCTCGCACCTACACCATGTACACTGTTGAAAGGCACACTGAACTTTTGTAGACATTGAGATGAAAAAATTACTCCAGTGCATAATCATTTTGATGCATAGACAAATGCTTAGTAAGGAATGTCATGAATATGTATTTCGTTTCTTAACATCACGAGTGTAATTCTCACGAAGTTATAGGGCATGTTAAGTAGGGTACATCACAATGTTAACTTAACTGCTTATGAAGAACAAAATGTGGAAAAACAAATGTGACTAATACGGGCAAATCACAAGAAAGCGCCTCCAAGAGTTTGCAATGCGTTGGCCAATCACATCGCGTGAAATTTGTCCACCCCTTCCAGGTGCGAATTGGGTATTGGAATTATATAGATTTCGCGTATTGTGATTAGCCAACGCATTGCAAAGTCTTGGAGGCGCACTATTGTGAAATGCCCGTATTATTTAGGATTTGGTAGCAAATTATAAACACCTGCAATTCCGACAAAAATAATAAACACTCATCAGTCAAAGTTTCTTCAGATACATGTATGTGTAAATAAATAAACCTGTATTATATCAATAGTCAATGTTAAAAACAGTGGCAAGAACACTATAATGAACAGTAAGAATTTTGTCAACATTTACACAATATAAGTCAAAGAATTTCCAACATAATCATATAATGATTTGGTGTATTCCAGTGCAGTGGAGACAGTCTTGTCCCCATCATTTTGTATGACTAAACAACCAACTTTCTCTAGTCCAATTAACAAATATCTGTGCATTGTGTGGATCCCATAGTGTAAGGGAGCATCTCAAAAGCTACAATACCAAGCAACGTTTCAATGAGAACACTGCTTGATCCAATTGGGAACACTCCATGTTCCTCCTTAAAACTGCGCTTGTTCCCAAATAAGAACAGTGGCCTGTGTGTGTACATGCAAACTCAGGAACGATGTTCATGTATTGCAAATGGGAATACAACAAATTTTCATAAAAGCGTCCCAGAGTGTACAGGAAGATTCTGACTATTGAACATAAGTCACAGACCAGGAGGGAACATTTAACATAAAGGCCATGTCTGAAACGGGCTTCCAGACCTACGGCTAGGTATATTGTCTCCATTTATTTCCAATGGAGTGAAGACCTAGACCTAGCTCTGAACAGATATGAACTCCCTCTGTTTATTTCTGCATTTCCACAACGGAAATGAACGGTAATACAAAATGGACAAGGTCACCTCCAAGCACATTTGGCTTAAGAAATGCACTCAATCATGCTTTCCAAACGGGTGTTGTACACATACACTCTATAAAATAGGGCCATTCAGTAATACATGCAACGCTAACATGTAATGTGAATGTTGAAGAACATACACATTGGTTATGTACCAGATTGTTTTAGATAACTAGGTTATTGTCTCACTCAAACAATTGGAATCCCTTAGATCTTTTTATTTATATATAAATGTACTTTATGGTTATCTTTACTCTGTTATACATGTACATCTTCATTAAAACAAAAATGAACAAAATCCAACACTTTGCAGTGAGTTTCTTTGTACATGCCTCTTGCCAGGTCATGCCAGCTAGACCCTGTGGTAGCCAAGCAGTCAAAACTGTAAAAACAAGCAAAAGTGGTTCGGGTTTTCCATCCAATAGTGTGTGAAAAAACCCAAATGTAGCCACATTCAGAAAAAAAAGGCCATTACAGGCTACATTAAAAAAATTTCGAATCCTCCCCCCCAAAAAAACGTGTTGATCTGCCTTTTAAAACCAGGTGTTGGCATCCAGGAACACTGCAGAAGCCCACCCATCTTGCACTTTCCAACAAACAAACAAACAACCCAACAAACAAATAATTTTTTCCAACCCAATCTATGACCATTTTCGAAACAAGTGGACTTTGAATTCGCTGTTTCCCTCCATTTTGAAGAAGCGTTCAAAACCACAAGTTCGAGCACTGACTGGAACCAGCGAAACCGAAGTCTAAGCCGCATCCACTTGTTTCGAAAACACTCGGTGGTAGTTGGTCCGCGTATATGTACACATACGTCAAGGACATCTTTGGTCGGTTTGGTGCAATGGTGGTTACAACCTTGTTCAAAATGAGTAATGCCCTAGTTCATACTTCTTGCATAACAAATACGGCTCACAGCGCTGAAGTGCATTTCAAGGTGTGATGCAACAGAGAATCTGCAACTAACACAAAGTGCACTCCATTCTAATCACATCAATTCCACTGAACCCCCCCAAGTGGGAATTTTTATGGCTCAAAATTTTAAAAGGAGTAAAAATATTATCTATACAACAATTAAATTCTGAGAAAATTGATGAGGGTACATGAACACTTTACATCCTACTTAAAGGTAGTGTGTTGAAAATAAGAAAATTAGTTAGCTGTAGTACGCAGTGGTCTTTAATTTTGCGTCCTCTCGGAGTCCAGCTGACATGTCTGTATTTCACAATTTATCCAGAACCGTTGAAAACTTTGTTAAATTATTTAAAACAAAAGAAGTATTTTGTCTGATAAAAATCCAAAATAGTAATACCATTGCTTTGACTCTGCTAGGTTTCAAAACGCACCGACTGAAATATTCAAAGTGTCTCCAGTTTCGCGAGCAGGCCATCAGAGTAGTTAATCAATAGTTAAACATGTATCCCATGCTGAGTCCAGTCACACAATACAGTCAGACGAACGGAAACAAAGGCATTACCAGTAATCACTAGTTTGTCTGGGCCCAATACCGTAGAGCTGGTAACTGCGTTGAAGTCAGGACTTCTTAAGACCATTACAAGACCAACACAAGACCTCCAGTCTGAATTCAAATCACAAGCTATTTAAATTGAATGCAACAAAAGCATTCCTTTGTCATTGTTCAACTTGTTACTTGTGACTGGTCTTGTGCATGATCTTGTGTCTGGTCTTGTTATAGGTCTTGTGATGGTCTCCATGACGGCACTGGCTGGTAAGCAGAAAATAGTGCTTAGCAAACTCATGTGCTAAGCAGAAATCAACTGGGAACCACTTGGAAGAAATATTGAATGCATGGCATCTTGGCCGGTATGCCACTTTTGCCAAGTAAGTACTTTCTGTGATTAGTGAATATGTGGGCTTAGCAGCTCTGTGAAATTGGGCTGCGGTGCCAAGTCAATTAACAAAATCCATTCGGGTATCCAAAGTATCGCCAGGGATAATTGCATTTGCAGACATCAAGGCTGATGATGAAGCCACGCACATCTATTGAGCACCAATGACAGTTACTTGTCTTGAAGAGACGACTCCAAAACCTTCCGCAAAACTGCCTCTTCATCCTCACCGTAATCCTGAATGACATGAACAGAAAAAATACCACGATGAATGAGCATTCTGGATATGAGGTTCCACTAGAACGAGACAGCACGTGGAGACAAAAACTGGTGAAATAAGTATGTTCGCCATAAATATAACAAAATTCACGACAGCGTAATTCTTGGGCAATGTGGGAGTTTGACGTAATGTCAGAAAGATATACCGCCCTCAAGTCCACTTGTGCCAGCTACAGAACACTCTCACTGACCCACATGACCCATCATACCAGTTCATTAGCCACTGTTGCAGACAAAGACTGTGAAAATGCCACAATGCACCAAATGCCGCACATAGTATTTAGAGAGTAAGCAAGCTTTTTAAACACTGACGAATGGCAAAATGCTGCGCAAGCACCAAGTGCTGGATTGGCAAGAAACAATTCAGCAGAAGTGGTGTCCATTACACCATTTGATAAAGTATTCACAGTTATACTTTGCATGAAATTAAGCCTTCCTGTCTATTCTACAATTAAGCGATATGTACCGTTGCTAACCAAATGCTCGCCTACGGCAACAGTGGCCAATCTGGGGAAGCTACAGTATCGGTAGGTGGTCATGTGGTGCTTTGGCATCTTTCACTTGGACCCTATTGTATCAAATAGCTGTCACGTGATGAAAACACGGAACCAAAGTTTGCCAGATCTTTCTGAAAATATTTAATTACCGCCTATGAGTCTTACACTTGGATTGGTTCTGTAAAGTTTGTAATCAAGAGTACCATTATGGAGGACAAAAAGAGGCCATCTGTTTTTCTTCTTTCAGAATAGTGGAAAAGCAGATTTTACATCTTTGTAACATACAATTTTTGATTTTTCTACTTTTCTGCTACCTCAAAAGCAGAATGACCATTTTTTTGTAATGCATTTTTCCACTTTTCTGCTACTACAAAAGTAGTTTTACTTTTCCTCTTTTTGATGGCGACCAAAAAGTGGCCATCTGCTTTTCTGTCCTCAATGGGCAGTGAATGGGGTCATGAACCTGTAGGTTATGATCAGTTCCATTCTGAGACTATAAAAAAGTAAAAACTAGCATTCACGATTGTTGTCAAAATGTTCGATCCTCATTTCTGCCTGTTCGAAGAAAAAGTAAAATCTGCCTGTTTTGAAGCAGACAAATAGAAAAATGCATAACCAAATAATGTTCGTTCTGCTTTTTGAGGTTGCAGAAACATAGAAAAGTCGATATTGCATGTTACCAGAACATAAGATCTGCTTTTCTGCCATTCTGATAGGAGATAAGCAGATGGCAACTTTTCATCCTTCATAGTACATGCATAATGCATCGGATATTCAGATACTCCGGTGTCAAAGACAAGCTTAAAAAGAGAAAAGAACTCTTCTTAAAAAGAAATTTGGCCTGGTCTTTTAAGACCTGGCAACAAGTGCTGCAACTTTATCTTTTAAATAAAGTCACAGTCCAATTAAAACAGACTCTAGTGTTTTCAATTTAAAACAAGTGGGTCATTGAAGTGGGCATTTTCTGCTAAAGCAAGTCACGGATGGTTTATTTTCCAATATCAAGTTTGAGAAAAAAACAAAAACCAAAAAAAAAATGTGACTCAACACCGATTTGAGTCTGAATCAGAGATTTGAGTCAAGACCATTGACAAAATTGTTGAGTGCTCATCCAGGTAGTAACTGCACTCACCACGTAGGTGTCATACTCAAATCGATGCCTCAGGTTCAGGTGCTCGATGAAGTTGCTGCTTTGGTAGTTGGGGTCACCCCAGGGCATGGAGGCGCAGACTGGGCACACCACAGGCGACGTGCATTCCTTGTGCTCCTTGTTGCAATGCCTGGTCAGACCGCTGCTGTCCAGGTTTTTAAGGCCACAGTAGGGACACTTGAACGTGGACCGGTTAGGAATATTGCTGTAATGTACAAACACAGGTAAATTCGATCAAAAACAAAAACTGAAGCCAATGCAGGGAAGAACTATCATTTCCCTGGATCACTAGCACTTGAAAACTTTCTTGAATAAGCCAGTTTGGTATTTCAAAAAAGGCAAGGTCACTGGAAAGCAAAGTTCATGTGTGAGTTACATGTACATGTAGCAAACGGCTGGTCCGTGGCCGCACTGGTTGGGCAGTCCTTCGTGCATGCATCCCACATGCAAACGACTTCAGATGCACTTCAATTTGGACATCTGCTGTTGGGATACAGAACTTGCTCATTACTGGTACGACTTCATTTTCTAAGTACATGCACTAGCACTGAGAATACAAGGTACATGGTTGACAGTGGTTGAGACCACTTCAGACCATCACAAGACTCCACAAGAGCAATACATGAACTCCGGTCTGAAATCAAAGTCACAAGCTATTCAAATGAACTGCAACAAAAGCTGTCCCTTGTCCCTGTTCATCCTATTACTAGTGAGAGGTCTTGGTATGGTCTCGACTACAATACCGCAATGTATATTTCTTATTTACAACAGACATTCCTGAGTGGAAATGCATTGTCAATGGGAAGCAGGGAAACTTGTTACACGTAGGTTTTGGCTTTATAATGAGATTTCAGATAGCTGTAAACTGATGGATCTTTGTCCTTTGACATTTGATCTTTGTCTTTGCCCTTTGTGTTTTGATTGTTTTGTAAAATAAACTTCCACCACTTGAACTCGTGGCAAAGTAAAAAGCCAGCCTCCCTCGATCCACTGAGCATTGCACTCTTTGTCAGTATATCGCCATGGGAAAAATAACCCGCTGAATGGATCACTTCCAAGGTGTTAACATGTGCAGGCTGTTAGCGAGTCACTGTAAACTTGGCAATTTACCGTGGTGCTTTCTGTGATGTAGTAGCGACTGGCTTGAACTTGACGGCTGAGTCTGTCGTGGTTTCCAGCTTGGTGCAAGTCGCTGTGTGGCTTCGGATTTTGGACATGGACATCTGTGTTCCAAATGAAGGGAGAAAAAAAACTTAGAAAAAATGGAACAGATAGCAAACTGGAGCAAATTATGTTTGTGAGAGAAACGTTTACAGCTTAATTGAACATTTTTACTAAATCGGTCGCACATAAGACACTGCACATGCTGCATAATAACTCTATGGCACATTCTTTGTAAGTGAAGAGAAATAAACGTATGCCTTGTGGGACTTAAAACAGCACTCTCCAAAAAAACACCCCACACCTCAACAAAAAATGCCCACTATACCCACCTTTTTTCCACAACCAGAACAGACCGACTTTGTTGAGGATATCCGTTTCTCAATATCTTTAGCTTTGACCCTCTTCTTGGGGTCAAAGACCATTCGACACAGCGCACAAATGGGTGATGCTACATCTGAACATGTAGCTAAACATTCTTCACAGAACCTGACGGTGGGAAAAAAAGGTGAACTTAATCTTACAGTTTAAAACACCATGATGAAAATCCAACACTAAAGTGAAATCTACATATACAATCTTCCTTCCACCATCATCACCACAAATCATCATCCATCAAAAACTTCACCCCCGTGTCACGCTTTTTAATAACCACCTTTGTTATGATCACTTTATCCATCATTCTTATTTAAACCACCATCACTGTGCATCAATATCACCATCCTACATGTGCAGGTACATGTCATCATTATGGCTGCCATACATGCTCATGTACTTGTCAGAATGATTCTATCACCACCATTACACAGTTGGGGCAAAAATTACACTAAAAAAACCCTAGTTTTCCTCAATTTTTTGCTGTTTGAAATAGTTTTGTCAACTTTTTATGAGGTCAGGCAAATTGTATAGTGTGTACATGTACATGTACCTCAACTGAAAATATTCAAATACATTTATTACGGTTCAAAATATTAATATTTCTGAAAAAAAAATTTGTCAAAAATTTACAACTACATGTACATGTACCCCCTTACTGTGGTTTAAAAACACTTCAGAAAGTGGTCCACTGCGACTACAAAATGTGACCAAAAATACAGAAAGTGGCACTAAATGTTAGGGTTGGAACTTGGAGTACATGTATATGTACATAAAGTTTAATTTTTTGTAAAATAGAATCATATATGATTCATATTTATACACTGTATATACATGCACTATACATGTACTGGTACATCTCTGGGTGTTTTTATAATCGCATAAACCATACACATTAAGTAGAGACCCACCTTGTCTGTCCCCGGGAAAAGAAAAGTTGGTAGGAATGAGTGAAGTTTTTAAATTTGAGGAAAACTGTTTTTGTTCTACCCAGTGTATGTAAACTTTTTGCCCCAACCTCCCAACTGTGTGAGCATCACTACATTAACCATTTTTCAGCTCCGTCAAACAAACATAATCATCCTTGCCACTATCATCAAAATTAATATGACTGCAGTCCAATTGCTGCCATTCCAAATCACAACTATCATCATTAGAATCACAAATCATCATGGTCATCACCATCAGACCACCCCCATCTGCAACCCTCAATCGACACTTCCAAGATCTTTACAACACAGCACCTACTGCTGCTTGATACGTACACATGTCCGCAAGCAATCCTCACTGGTTTGCAGTACACTTCCAAACATATTCCACATTTGAGATCATCTTCTCCTTCGTCTATACTGGCCATGCTTTATCCAACTTCCTGTTCACAGGAATGAATCACAGATCTCAATGAATCTCAATGAATCTCAATATAATTTTTCCCTTTGTCTCCAATCAAGAATGTGTAAGAGCCTTGCATTTGTTTTCAGGTTTCCTTTTAAGTGGAATAGTGTTTTCCTCTAGTTTTCTAAGGTGGAACTACATGTATCAGTAACAATGCACAAATTCAAAAAGAGCGCTTTTTCAGAAGAACCTAATTATTGGAATGACAGGGATTGATGTTTTATTTTTCACCTACATGTTATATGCAATGTACAATGTAGACCTGTCGCCTGTCATGCCTGTCCTAAAGTAAAACTGACTTTCACGACAAAACATGCAGACCGTGCAATGCAACTGTTTGTAAGCAGGTAAGTAACATATGTTAAACAAAGAAATTCAACTTAGGGACTGGCAACAGCCTTATGCTATACTTTAAATCATGGAGGATGGAAGACAGTGTCGTTGTTACACCCCAACTATAGCATCAGTCCCAACTATAGTTGGGCCCGTCCCAACTATTGTGCTACAGTTGGGCCGGCCCAAATACAGCAGAGGGGTCCAGTATGCACGATGTGATCAGCGTGTGCCAAAGTCATACTGTTTACAAATGTCATGTCATTGGTCATAGGGCTAGATGAACAGATGAAGTGCCACATTTTAGACGAACTGTGTCACATGTGAGACACATTGACTTGGATAATGTTGAGACATTTCCCACAGACATTAGTCAACAATAGTTGGGCCAGCCCAACTGCAGCACTACAGTTGGGACTGTCCCAACAATAGTTGGGACTTATGCTATAGTTGGGGCGTAACATCTTCCTCCGTGTTTAAACCATGGAGGAACTAGGCCCTAACTACATGTAAGTTGACAATGCCCAATGACATGCTTGACTAGACCCAACATACGCCAATATAACAATTCTTCTTTGATATGTTTGATGTTTTTGTGAACTTACCTGTACCCCTGCAGCTCTACTCTGGTGTCTTGTTTTTAAAGGATTAAGAATGTGATAAAATTAAGAATCAGATAAAAAGGAATTAGCCTTCTTACAGTTACATGTACGTCTTGGGACGAATCAGTTTGTGTGTAGTTTACAGCTGCAAGGTCAAAGGTCACGTTTTCCTCAGCCTGGTTTCTGAACTACTCTCCTATATGAAAAAGGTTATCTCTAAAGAACCAGACTAAATACCGAAGAACAACGCAACGCACAATCGTCTCGTCGTCTCGCACTGTGCCTTTTTTTCCCACATGTATCTCTGTTCCCTGGGAATCTGATTTGAAGAATTTTCTAAATTAAACACCACATATTTCTCTCACAGTTTGTAGTGACCAACAAAGAACATGTCTCTTGCCTTTGTTCCGCCTCGGCAACGACATGATCGCGGGAAATCTGTGCCCGACCAGGCAACAATACAAAAGGCGAGTGTCCCCTTTCATGCCTTTCTAATTCTACTCATCATGCCATTGTTTACTTTAATCAGGCGCCAGTCTAGCTACATCATGTACCCTGCTTACTGTTATCGAAACGTCAATTTTTGTAATGTTTTGGAAAGTACAGTATGTAGACCTATAGATTTGATGGCCTGAGTTTTCTAGGTATGTTTTATGCATTTTGTTCTCTTTGCTGAAGGCCTACATCATGTACGTAATAATGAATACATTCAACATGTTCAACATTGTACAATTTATGTACATGTATGGTTTGCTTCAGTGCCAGTAATGGAAAAATGTTTGGTTGGTTTGTTATTGAAAAAAATTTTTTAAATGCATTTTTGTATTATGTTACAGTTCATGAATTTGATACCCGTAGCTTCAGTTTTTTTGTCTTGATTTGGCATTTAAGTAAAACTTTCCTCCAATGTCTCGAGAACTACAGGGTAGTTCCTGAGGTTTTTCAAGCAAGTGTCTTCATGTACTGGTGTGTACATATACTGTACATGTACTGGTAAAAATGGTATAATACCCATATGCAGCCAGAAATGAGACGGCCGAATCCACACGGTCTTCCTTGTAGCACCGCTACACTGCTGAAGAACTGAGCATGCGCATTAACGAGCGGAAGTTCACAGGTACGCTATGAAAGCATCACATATCCGCGTACGCTTAGAACAGAACAGAACTGACTCACGTGTAGCACTGGGTAGCATCGGGTTTGTGCACAAGTCTATGGTGTAGCACTTTTTGCTACACGCCGCGGCCCCTTCCTTTTTCGTTTCCTCATGTAGCACTGTGTAGCAGTGGGTTTGTGCACAAGTCTATGGTGTAGCACTTTTTTGCTACACGCCATGGCCCCTTCCTTTTTATTTTCCCGTGTAGCACTGTGTAGCAGTGGGTTTGTGCACAAGTCTATGGTGTAGCACTTTTTTGCTACACGCCGCGGCCCCTTACTTTTCTCGCGCCTTCGTCTTGCACTGTGTAGCATTAGTGTGCACTTGAAGGTCTGGTTCTTAGATCATTCGATCGGCTGTGCCTATATCCTACATGTTCTATAGCATATCACCTGACTAAACATTCTGTGTAGCATGTAGCACTGCTACACACACAGGTTCTGTCTTCTTCAGCTCATTTCTGGCTGGGTATAGAATGATGGGATGTTTGCTACATGTATGGAAGCTTCTTTCCGCTATCCACAAGGTCTTAGGTACCGATGCTGACGGAAGACTTCATGTATTGATAAATTAATGGGTTTATTTTTCTAGATTTTACAATTTTCCACCACTTGCATTGTAACAACTGATTTTTTCATCATTTTACTACCAAAATAAAATGTAGACAACCCAATTACAGGGAAAAAAGTCGGTGAAAAAGACATTAATGTTGAAAGCTAGCAAGTTTTCAATTTGTCCTCAAATATACCATACTTTACATGTACATGTACGTGTGTGTGGATAAGCCTTCCCCACATTAAGGGAACAAGTCTTTTTTTAGAAAATTTCATAACCAAATTGTGGGGACAACCATTTGTGTTTCAACTCGTGTAATCTCAATAACCAGGTTGTATTTCTACACTACATATACAAACATGTGCACTGTACATGTACATACATGTACATGTACATATACATACATGTACATGTACACTGTACATGTACAGTACGTGAAACAAGTATACTGCACATGCACAGGTATGCATCAGTTTGTACACTTAATGTACCCTGTATGTGTCATGTTCTTCCCATCTTCCCATGTACACATTGCTTGACATTTAGTTATATGGTAAAAGCAAACATCAGTTGAGAAATTACATGGTATCTTGTGTACTTTCGGTCTTCTCTTGAAATACATTGTCAATATTTTGAGGCACTGTTAATGACATACATGTACACTGTACATGACACACATGATACAGACTTACACAGAAATGTACAAGCATGTACATGTACTTCACTCAGTTAATGGGTTTGGCAAATGTACATATACACGTATGTTACCACAGAAGGATGAGATTGTTAATACAAAAATTGTGAATATTTAGTAGTTTGATACCATCAAAAGCATGGGCTGAACTGAATTGTATAATTGTTGATACATGGACATGCACCTGTTCTTTATCTTTTCAGTTGTTTTAATTGTAGTCGTGGTAGTTATATGAGTCCAACTTTGCAAATTTGTGGGAATTATTTAAACAGTTGGCAGAATAAATCATTCACTCATCCATTTTTGTTTTCATTGTAGATGCTTGATGAAAATAATCAGCTGATACAAGCCATTGTTGACTACCAGAACAAGGGAAGAGCTTCGGAGGTTGCCCAGTAAGTTTCATTCAAATCATGACACAGTTCCAGCTTTTGTAGACTTTCATTTGCATTTCAATCAAGTTTGCTGACTGCAAGTGCATGTACATTGTACACTGTACTACATGGAAGTGTTGACATGGATAGATCCAAAACAATGTTTTTTTTCAGGGGATGGTGGATAAACTTGATGGGAAGACAAAAGATTTGAATATTTTTTTCATCAAAATTCTTGTAACTTTTTGTGGCTTTTCTTAGGGGTGAGGCTACATTTTGGGGTTTTTGATACACTTTTGGAAAGAAGGGAAATTATGAAATAGACCCAAAATATTACCTTTCTTTTATTATTTTCCCCAAAAATTAAAAAGAAGAAAGTGGCTTCTTTTAGGGGGAGGGGCGTGGTCCATTGGCCCCCCTTGACCTGCCTTTGAGTGTTAACCCTTTTTGAGATGGCATAATATCTAATGAACATGAAGATGACTGTTTTCCGTCACAAGCCAACAGCATCGTGCATGTACAGCAGAAAGTCGAGCTTTTCATGGAAGCATCATCCTACAAAGATTACACATTGTTTTTTTCTTACCAAGATATTAACCTTACTGAACGTACATGTGTACATGTACATGTATGTATTTGAAAAATGTAGACGGTGACCGTTCGTGATGCATACAATATGTCTGACCTTGAAAAAGTGGCAGGTGCCCTGACGTTCTGGCTCTGATTTCACCTGTTCACTGCACAACAAGATTCTGTATATTTTTGTGTCTTGAAAATCAATGTGATCCTTGATTCTTCTTTCACAGATATCAACAAATTCTGCACCGCAACCTGGTATATCTGGCAACGATAGCAGACTCCAACCAGAGCATGCAAAACCTGTTAGCTGTAAGTTTTGCTGTTGATCCATATGTAATAGGAAACGTAAACTGAAACCTAAGAAAAAATACATGTATCGCATTCCTACTTGGATTATAGAATTTAGAAACCTCTCGTCCAGAAATATGGAATATGAAGTTCATATCTACTCTCTGCTGTTCTTTAGAATTCAACCAGATTTGAGGCCATTTCAGACTTTTCCAAGATTTCCAGCCTTTTAGTCACGTGTAGTCTTTTTTCTTTGTGTCATTCTAGCATTACAGCGAGAAGTTTACTTATTTTGCTGTTTGTACAACGTACCTGGAATGACAGCACAGATGACAGTTTGAGGTGTCAATAATTAAAGAACATATTTTAAGAAGTGTAATGCTCTTTTTCTTTGTTTTTAGCCCCCAAACCAGAGCAGTGCTAACATGGGCAACCCTTCCCAAGGGATGAATGGTCCCAACCCACCCCCTGGGGGAATGGTGCCTAATTCACAGCCAGATAACATGATGCATCAGCATCACCAGCAACACCCACAACCACAGCAGCAGCAACATCCACAGCATCAGCAGCATCCTCAACATCAGCAGCAACATCCACAACATCAGCAGCAGCATTCTCAACATCAGCAGCAGCAACACCCACAACAGCAGCATCATCCACAACAGCAGCAACAACATCCACAGCAGCAACATCAACATCCACAACAGCAGCAGCAACATCCACAGCAGCAGCAGCACCCACAACAGCAGCAGCAACAACATCACCCACCACAGCAGCAGCAACTCCCGCAGCAGCAACAGCAGCAACAACAACATCCACAACAGCAACAACATCCACAGCAACAACAGCAACAGCAGCATCCACAGCAGCAGCCACAGCCACAGTCTCATCAACAGCAGCAGCAACAGCAAGCGCAGCAACAGCAGCAACCGCAGCAACAGATGGGCACTGTGCCTGCTAGTATGCCACAGACATCTTCAGGCCCAATGCCTATGGGCCAGATGCACGGTAGGCTTCTCTGTGATTTTTTGTCTTTGTCAAAGAAAATAGGACCTGCCCCAAGTTTGCCCTTAAGGGTCTATGCAAGGCATTTTTCTGAGACACTATTTTTTGTGCATCTTGATGTGTGTCTTCAGTGTACATGTATGAAAATATTTGACAACCTTGAGGGGCTAAGTTTACTTTCTTACATGTAAGTGCTTTATGTTTTGCATATTTAAAATTGCAGAGGTATTCCTGACGGCCGGATGTGCTATTGCTATGATACCAATCATGGAAGACAATTCACTTTGTATTTTTTTCTATTTGCACACAAATATTGCCTTCTCTTCCTTTTGTGATCTTGTGAGTAGCGATCATGGAAAAAGACCATTCGATGGATTCATTCATTGTCAGATTACAGTCTTGATCTAGATGCATGCCGAATTTGCTTCAGTTGTTTTCTGAAAACAAACTCCTGCTGGATATTTCTCTTCAGGTTCCCAAATGGGCGACCAGTCGTCAATGGGCCCACCGTCCAGCACCTCTGGTAATAACATGCCCAGCTACAGTACATCAGGCAACACCCAGAACATGGGAGGATACCCAAGAGGCTCCATGCCCCAAGACCAGACCCCACAAGGTAGACACTCTTTGTACAACCCCTGAGCTGATTCTTGTGTTATTATGGGGGGGGGGTTGTAACTCTAAATGAGCTTAGGGCTCGACATTTTCACTGTGCATGTTTTTGTTGCGATTAACTTTCAGGTTTTTTAAATTAAGACACCATAACATCAGTTTCCTGAAAATTGCACACGCCGTTCTGGCAGAACGGCAATATTTTTGAGCCCAAAGTGTTAACTTCCTCCATTGGCGTGCTCAGTGCACGTAGGCAGACACATGACTGGCCATGAAGTATAAATGACTGTAACAACAAGACTCAAAGTTGGATTGAATTGAAACTTTACAGATGTACGCCTGATGAACATCTTTGTGCATGCCAAGTTTAAAAACAAAATCAGGCATGTGACAGCTGGGATCTTGGGGAGGGGGCGGATTCCATCCCTGGCCTCACCCTTTCTCCCCAGCAGTTGTTGAGATGGGGAATAATTTCATTTAACTTTTATTATAAACTCGGAATCAAGTTGTTAATGTGTGGCTTTCACCAATGCCACTTTCACATTGTTGAAGGGCAGAACCAAATACTGTCGGTGCCCTACCTGTCTTGCTGATTTTGGGCCCTCTCTTTTTTGTGTTTCAGGCCCTCCAATGAGTGAGCAAGGCTTGATGTTGCCCCCAGCCAGCTCGGCCCTGCCCACCAACATGGCGGCCAATCCCACCAATCCCCCGATGCCCCCCAATCCCAGCATGCAAAGTGGCTACAATCCTAGCGCCTCACAGGGTAGCGCCGCCTACTCCCATGCGGCCATGCCCCAATCACAGGGTGAGTGGCTTCAGTTTGCACCACTACATGTATATTGTTTTTGGCACATTTTAAATTTTTTCCCCGATGATTTCCACAGAAAGCTGTCCTAGCACTGTAGGCATTGTATCCTCACAAATGTGCAAGAGTCAATGGCCATGTGTTCGGTTTTAGAGATGGCAGGATACTGTGAAGGCAGGATAAGTATTGTACATGTAGAACATACAATGGTCATGGAATTAGAAGGTCAGGAGATGGACAGCAGCAGTCAACCTGATGTATGTAGCTTTGATAATGTACGGCTGTTTACAAGTGTAATTTTCATGTCAGCAATACCCTTGCAATCCTTTAAAGGGTTGCTACAATCAACATCTTGTAATACAAACCTTCACAGTGCAGCTTTGTGTCTCTGCTAACCTTATTTCAACTTTTGTCTCACTATTTCAAAGGGTATTTTACTGCATTAATGGTTTTTATGCTGATGATATTTCAATATTCATGAGCAAACTGTGATGTCATGTAAGGATGAAAGCCTCAATGCACACAAAAAAGTTCTGCATTTTTGTAGAATTTTGCTAGAATTGCCTTTCGCTTCTTTGCTCTGTATGTGTATCTCAACAAGCAACCATCAATCCCTTTCTCAGAAATGTTTTCTGTAGCTAAGTTCTTGGTTCACAAATTTAACAGAAACACCTACATGTATGTGCTGAACTCTGTCTTCCCTAGATGATTTTATAGCAACAGCGCCATCAGTTGTCCAAAAAAGCATGGATAATTTTTCAATGCATTTAACCAAATATAGTCATTTTGCCTTTGAGAAAGATTCTGCTAGGATTAAAGTATCAGGCCCTCCATATTTTGAGATTTGTATTTAAGTCATTGTAGTCAGCAAGCAGTTTGCAGCAGTTTTATATTGCAAACAGGAATGTAAGAGTTTTTGTACATTGAAGAAGAACACAAAATTGAAGAAAAACTGTCAAAGAAAAATTAATTGAGCTGCACTTGAACCCATAGTAAGCATGATGCCACGGCAACCAAACATGCCCAGCAACCAGCCAACCAATCAGCAGCAGCAGCAGTTCCACATGCCCCAGCAGAGGTACCCGCCGCAGCAGGGAATGATGGGGCCATCTCAGAACGGTAGTCAAGGCAACCAGATGATGGGAACACAGCAGCCAATGGGAGGATTCAGACAGCCTGCCCAGACAGGTGATTGAATGATGTCATAAGCAGGCTATCCCAAAATTAAATATTGTTACTTCCCAAATGGTAA